CCGAGGGCCATTCATGTTAGGAGGGCTTTGAAAAATAATATGGTGCGTATTATTGGAATGACCGGGAATGAAATAAGATATGGTGTCCCATACTTTCGGGGTTTACAGTGACCCACTGAATAGCGNTGAGCATGTGGGATTTTTCGTTGAACATGTGGTTTCTTATGGTCATTTTGTAGGTGCTTAGATTGGATATGAACTCTAACATGCCTTTTCTGTAACGCCTAAAATGATATGCCAAAGTATCATGGCCATGAACTGTAATAATATTAACAACAATAATAGTAATATAATTCTGGGAATTTGATCTTATACTGTATTGTACTGTATTGTATTGTACTGAATTGGATTGAAGCTTTGAGAAGTTACTTGCAAGCTTTCAGCCAAAATAGACCACAGTTACAATTCTGGTGAGAAAGGTGACGTGAGACGTACAACAATTTGAGTTAATTACTAAGTGCATTAGAAAGCTCAGAACGAACACTTTCCTTGTCGGCCAGTATCCGGGTGAGATAGGGTACCAGAGTTTCTGTATACAGATAAGCGAGACGGGATAAATTTGTACTTAGCACGGGTAGAGGGGTGGGATTTGCATGCACACAGGTCAGTATGTAGAAGATGGGTGCAACCAGATAGGGTATGACCAGCAAACTTCGAGCACCCATCAATATGAGCATCACATATTGCTAAGCAGAACAGATAACGTAACTTGGGAGACACAGCTGATCATTGAGAGACCACGACTCAGCAACTTGAAATTCGCCTTCAGCAAACCAGGGAAAATTACAGGGGAGCAGTAAAGGAGTATAGGGGGAACACAATGTTGAGCCAAAGCGTCTATCACCGACAAATCAGAACAGAAGTGGTGGAGTCTTCTTGTCTGAAAAGAGAGGATTTTTTAACTTTCTTATGAAAATTCATTTGATTTGGCCCGGACGATCTAACAGTAGCGTGCCCTCTAGAAAATCATGGGTTTTTGTCCTTTTGTAAAATTATTGTACCGTGATCTGTTTTGCACACAGCCTGACTTTAGGCGTGTAAGAAAATAAAATAATGATATACAGTGGGGTGGGGGGTGGTTAAGGAGATTTCGCAGAACCAATGAATAAAACATTCAGAAGTGAACCTGTTAGGAGCAGCTGAATTGTGTACACTGATGTGGACTATGGGCGTACAGCGACACACTTCACAGCGGTAGCAGTGCTCATTGTTTTCGATTTCTTCCGTCGAGGTAGGAATTGTCATCGCTTATAACGATCGCGTTTATTTAAGATATTTTGATTTAGACAATCACATAGGCTTAGATTGAAAAGTAGATGCAGTATTCAGGGCAGTGATAGGACGTTACTGAGTGGGGTTGACGATTGCCCTAGCTCATCTCAAGTTTACAATTTCACATTCCCGATTTTCGTTGGTTCTCGATGTTGTGCCCAGCTGAACAGTGTTTCTTGTGTTATGAGGTAGTATGAATAAGTGAAATTACGAGATGTGGAGCTGAATGTGTGATGACCGGCAGTATGCTCCAGGCTTAGTACCCATTCCAAAGGGCATACAATCCACTGAATTGGACACTTTAGATTATCTTTACGCACCACAACGTTACCATGTCATTCGGGGTTTTGTCATTCCAAGGCTCCCCTAATTATATCACCTACTTGGGCCTGGACTCCTTGGCAATATCCTGCTCACTACGAATTAATGAACCTTTTTCCTTAGTTATGAATATTACTGTACCAGGATTTGTTTGTGTGTTTCGCCGTACAATTTTTGATATTCATAGTCCTTTCAGGGTCAAAATTTATTCTGCTTTGATACGTTTCATTGCCATCCGCATTTTCATGCTAAATGTCATTGGCCTTAGAAATTGGGATACGAACAATGAAAGCTTGATTGGGGTGAAACCGTTCACATACAATTGCCTTGGTGAATGCTTCACTGGGTTGTTCCTCGGATTTTCATTTTTAAGTGTTTAAGTGTCGGCAGCCCGTCGGTGGATGCGTAAATTTCACGTGCGTAACACTCACACATGGCCAAATGATATTCTTTTCCTTCTGAGTTAGCATTTTCTGTTCAGTGTTTATTGGTGGGATGTCACTTTGCTTCTTAAGAAGCAAACGGGTCACAATTGAAACCGTTATCATTCGTTGATACGACGCAAGTGTGGTGAGTAGTAAAGGGAACAATCAGGATAGACAAGAAACTGCTCTTTAGTCCTTAGGGGCTGATTCTAATATTTGTAATTGCAATTATAAGGTTTGTAGACGTAAAGCCTACACAGTAGAAAGAAGAGAAGTCCCCGAAACCTCCAACAAAGTCTGTGAAGACCTGTTCTTTGCTAACTGGAATACGCGCCAAGGAGGTACGAACCAACAGCCCAAAAAGCTGGGCTGTGGTCACAGTGTTAGGAGAGCACAAGGTGTTCTCACCGTTTCCCCGCAGAATAGCGGAAACAGAATGGGTTTGATTTCAAACGAGTCACGATTTATGTCACTTATTTTGCACTCAATACTTGGGGTGGTCAGTTAGCAAAATTTGCTTCCACGGTCAGTTTCTAAGATCTTAGTAAGCGTCTGCAAGATCAATCTGTTTCAGCTTATTTGTCAATTATACTGCAACAGAGGAAGTTCTCCATGGAGTTTATCTGAAAAACAAACACATTTGCCTACTCAGAACAACAGATGTAATACAATTTGACCGCCCCTCGTCAACACAGTGAATATACAGTTTTACACAACGCTGCAAGTAGTTCTATGAACCGTTTTGTGCCTTTTGGGTTTAACTTATTACAACAACCGCGTCATGAACGTTAGTACCACAACGGGAGGTGAGACGCATCTATCGGGAAAATATAAGCTGGACATTGTTTAATGTCCTGATTATTCCAGGTTTATCAGTCCAACACCGATTATCTCGTGTAAAAAGACCACTGCAGGCACATTCCGAAGCTAAGGAGCACCAGGTAGGAAAGTCAACAAAATATGATTGTAACGCTAATTGAACCGAAAGCATGGTTGAATGGATCTTTTACCATATACTGTTCACCTTTCTTGGGTCTCTTTGTATTTGATCTCTATGTCGATATCATGAAATGCATAGGTGGATCACCCTCTGTGGGGTGAAACCAGTAAGGTAGCCAGCAAAATTCTACAATATACGAAGATAATTAAACTTGATATGGGGCGCTCAGTCGTTTTAGGCAACAAGGTGCAGAGGCAAATATGTTTTGTGTTTAAGGTAAAATGGGATTAAAACGGCTCTTATAGTTTCTGACGGTGTTTGATTGTGCGCGTGATGTTTTACTTCCTTTTTGACAGCAATACGAAGTGAATGTGGTCGGTTTAACACACCCTATCATCTGTGCCGTATTCAACATCGATTGAAAAATAGTGTTTTCAGTTTTTACAACCGTTACTATTGACTTTCGCGTGTCAGTTTTGGTTGCTACCTCATGGTTTCCCATGTGACTGGAGTGAAGGGAAGATTAAAATGTTCAATTTAGTGTCTCAGACTTGACAATTTATGGAAGATAAGGTTACAAAGAAATAGAGAAGATCCACGAGCACCACTGCTTATGACAATTAACCATACCACTCAATGTCTCTCGCCATTGATTACAATGATCCCGATGTCCCCATCCAAGTAGCCTGTCGCGGCCTATTTAAGAATTAATACATTTTACCTCACAAGCGAAATCAGTTTGAATATAATTAGAAACTAATGTTCCATCTCCAATAGCAGGCGTTCTTTCATTTCTGATGAGCTAGTTGCTTTAGCATAGTTGAAAACTGTGGGATAAAATCCAAGCCACAATCTAGGCTGGTTTTCCGCAGGTTGGTTTTTGTCCATATGTCATACTTATCGTACGTAACGGTCATTAGAGGGCCAATGACTCCCTACAGTACTTTTGCATCAAGGTATAACAGTTTTCAAAGTTAAGTGGGTTGACATTTTAAGTACTGATTTATACAGTTGTTCAATTCTATAAGGTGACTGCACATGAATAGTGGAGTAATACCTTTGCGTATCTCAGTATGCCGTATAATGTCAGAATTGTTTGTCCACTTTTCGTCTCTTCTACCTTGAAGCACTCGATTTGCGGTCTTCTTGATTTCGCAAGGAGTTGAAAATCCATTTGAATGTTTCATTTACAATAGTTCATTATTTTTTGTTTATCTCTAGGCTGGACTTCAGCTACAGACCAGTGAGCACACAGGAAGATTTGTTTCGGAAACAGCATTGGTGCCAACTGCTTGTCATTCGCTCGCCGGTGGCTCTTCAAATCCTCCGAAATTCGGAACATTAATTCCAAACCGGATTTTCGTTGGGGGCATACCTTCCAACGTGGGTTGTTTAAGTATACCTTACTAGCATTTTTAGACTACCGAACAGGAACTGAAGTCATTCTTTTCAAGCTTCGGTCAAGTCAAGGATGTAAAAATAATAAGTGACCGGCTTGGTGTTTCGAAGGGGTTAGTATTCTAATCAGATTGCTTATTTGTATATTATGTTAGTAGTTACGGTTTTGTTACATTTGAGAGCCAGGAAATGGCGGAAAAAATAATAAAGAACGAGGTAAGATTGTTGAAAAACCATGATTATTGGATGTAGTCGGAAACGCTTATTTTCAAAGACCGGAAACTGAATATTGGTCACGCAATCCGAAAGCAGGTAAGAAACAAAACTTGCATTGACTCATACTGTGATAAATAAAACGGCTTTACGTAATCAGTGTCAGATTTAGTTTTTGCTGTCTTCAGTAGATGTCTACTCTAGTTCGAATTGACTTGATATTCTCCGCATATTTTTCAATACCTATTTACTGCATCTTTTTCCAGCAAATCTTCCCAAGACCAGGTACGTGCACTTTTTTTAAGGTTTTCACTGCTTTTCACGTGGATGCTTTGGAATCCCTCACCTATAAAACGTTTCTATGGTTTTCAGATCTGCCAACAGCGCTGTTCTTCGCAGGGGGTGCGATGCCATATGGCTTTCAAAACGGAATGGCTGTATTTTCCCTCCCTGGACAAGAGTACCCGGTACTGACTCAGGTACGGCTTTCTATTTCGGGGGGTCTGCATGCTTCATTTATTTTGAATTGCAAAAGTACACAAATTGGTGCACGGCTTCACTCAAGAATTCTTAAAAAAGGAGGGATTCACAATGGCAATCTTCTTGGTTCGCCTACTGTCGATAACGGATGTTTTCTGCAGTGCACCACAAAATTGCAGGGCCTCTTGTATTTTCCCGCATATTTTCGCTTTTGTATTATCTTATACGGTTTTATTTGGTCTAACCTCCATCTTACTTCAGTACTTCTACGATCGAGATGTCAAATGTGATATCAGATACTAGAAGAATTAATCTGCACTCGTTCAATCTTATTCTCCGGAGTATGTGAATCACGTGGTTCCTTTTTTCACGGATTTGTTGGTCACTCAATCCTCAGATTGAAACTATCAGCTAGTTATGAAGTACTTTGGTATTACGATGTTTCTATTGCGTAAGGCACTGGAATAAGAGCCCAATACATTCGTCAATCCACTCTGTGATCATTTTCTCTAATTTTCACACAGTACATGGTTTAGTTTTTGAAATTTGGCACAACCTATATCGTGTATCTGGTCATTCTGAACGGATACCATTTTGTTGGAGAAGCAAAAACTACAAGGGAACTCTTTGTATTTTGCCATGCTCTGTGTGTGAAAACGCGTGTTTCAAAGTTACAGCGAAGTAGACAAAAGTCATGCGCCTGATCCGTACTTATCCATATATTGAATCAAATGAAAAAAATGTTTTGAAGTGTATGATGAATAGTTCGCTAGTCTTGCACGATGAACAGACAATTTGTGTATCCTTTGGTGAGGGCTGTTTATTTCAGTAATTTCATAGGGATTGAAGATACTTGTCGTTTACTGTCGTTTACCCTCCAATAATGAAGAGTCCTATTTTTTAAACCTTTCTAGGCGGCTGCTCCGTACGCCACAATGATGCTTCCTCAACCGGGTGGTGGTACTGCTCTATACCTACCTTCCACATTACAATCAACTATGCCCGGTGCTGGGTCCCCATATGCACAATTATCTCAACAGCAAGTTACGGCAGCTCTACAACAGCAGCACTATCACCAACCCGCAGGTAATGCGGTTACCGGCCAGATGACGCCTGTTACCGTGAGCACCAATAATGTTGGGGCGCAGTCTAGTCCAACGGCCGCTGTAATGGCCGCGGCTGCTGCCATGGCTGCGGCGGTACAGTGGCCACAGCAGACTACACAAACGACCGGACCACAAAATTCCCAGCAGTTAAATAACGTTACCACTCAAAGCGTACCTCAGCCAACTGGTGTTACCCAAGCAGTTGTGCAAAACACTTCAATTACACCTCAGCAAGCTGCCGCCATGGCTGCTGCTGTCGCTGCACAACACCAGGCGGCTTGGCGGTGGTCACCCACAATCCAGCAAAGCCAGTCACAGACACTTTCCACAACATCGTCACATGTGCCAACTTCCAGTTGTGCAACGACGTCGTCTGCCATTTTGGGAAGTACGACATCTACGCCGGCGCTACACAATCAGAGCTTACAGCCGACACAACAGGTGAGTGACAGCAGTCTATCCTTTATGCAGCCGGCCGTTGCAACTCTTCCGACGGCAATTCGATTAGCACAGCAGCCTCTGCTGGCGGCGTCCACAGCAGCATTGTTTGCTGCCGCATTTCAGCCTCCTAGCGCCACTTTGTTCGCTGCCGCATCAAACGGGGTTCTGGATATGACTACTGCGGCTGCTTTAGCGGCCCTGGCTTCCATGAATCAAACGAACGCAGCTAGTTCTGAAATTCTGAGTAAAACCGACAACGAACCAAACGATGGTAATACTGTTCCCTCTTTGGACATCTCGTTTTCCCAACCCATCAAAAAAGCCAGATATGATGATAACATCGCAGTTTCAGGTGATAATGAACTCTCTGTACTGAGTGCTTCGTACACCTAAAAGCTCTGTTTTCTCATGCGACCAATGAACAAAACGCTTGGATTTTTGTAATATGTACCCAGGTATTTCTCATCGCAACTGTCATTTTTCTTGAATTTCATTGTAAATGATCCTTGCTAGTTGTCACCCATGTATTGTCTTGTTGCTTCCTCATACAAGTAAAGTATTATTTTTTGAAGTGTTTTTTTCGTCTGCTAACTGGAGATTTTGTTCTATGCGCCTGTTCTGTCTCGCATGTGTGCCAGGGTTCGCCGACCGCTGCCATTGGTCCAGCTACCTATTTGTACAGCCCCATTGCAGGAGCTGGACATGAGCTAATGTTTTTCCAACAAACAAGCTCGCCATTCGCAGCCAACTCGACTAGTGATTACAGTACGGACCACAGTACACACTCCTCGGGTTTGCTAGAATCTGTCGAGGTAGGCAATTGATTAGTTCAACCAATTTTATCCCTCGGTGGCTGTTGAAAGTTTCCATTGGTGATTTCGCAGTTCAGGGCATGATGCTCCAGTGTTCATCGTTGTAAATTGTTCCTGATGCCTGATCAGGAGATTACACTTGCGTTTCACCTTAAAATTCATTTGGCGTGTGAATCAGCTGTGTCCAAGTTATTAGTCGTTCGGTGTTATTAAATACGGTGCTCATTGTAGCCATTGCCAGTTATTTTTTCACCAAGGGTGGTCTTTGATTACCCGAAACGTCTGATTTTCTGTTATTGCATCGTTGCTTCTGCTGCACAATTATTTGTTATTTCTCGTCGAGAACCTGTTATCTTTGGATTGTAATTCTCCGAGGAATGCGTTCCAAAGAGTGGCCTGGCGCTTTGGCTTCCTGTCGTTTGTTGGCCACTACAATTATTGGTTGATCTTTGGAATTACTTCTGACGTGTGCTGGTTCCCAATTTTTCAGCCATTGAGTTTTCCGTGCGAAGCAACACCACTTGGTCGTCACTCACAACAACTTGGTGGACAGATAGCTGGTGCTCTTGGTAGCCACTTAGACGCCACCTGTCTGTCTCCATACGCTGCGTTCGCTCCACTGCTGGATTTCCAACAACAAGCACATGGTTCCGGGCAACACAGCACTATTCTGCAGTCCAACTCTATTCAGCAGCTAAGGCAAACTCACCATCAGCCCTCGCTTTTGACGACTCATCAAGCTGCTTCCGCGCAGCACTTTGTACCAATAGCTCACGGTTCAACCTCACTCGTGACCCAAGGTCAACAACAACCCAAGCTGTACTCACAATCTGCCCTGTCTTCACTAACGCACGCGGCAGCACCTGGAGTGAATACATGCGCCTTGCCATCAAATATGTACGGAACGACTTCTGTAAGTGTTTATTGGTCTTGTCTCAACTAAAATAAAATTAATATCAGGGAAGTTTTGTTTATCTTCAAGACTAGTAGGCATTCTCTTGTAATGTTTATTATTTGTGTATTCATTTTCAGCACAACAAACCATACCGTATGCATTTAGACAACTGTAAACATCAAAAAGTAATCAGTTCCGTCGGTGCTTTTAAGCCACCGGCGCTTCTATTTTTCGATTTTTTTCGGCGATATGTTTAGCCCAGTGATATAAGTAGAAAATAACACTTTTTATTTACTTATTAATCATCGGTTTGTGGTCAACCTTGGTGCGAACGCAGTTTCTGTTTTTACAACCAGTAACCATGCTCTTCATGCACCGGTTTGGGTTGCTGTCTTTTGGTGCCCCATTTGGATAAAGCAGCAGCATGAAGATTGGAATGTTGAAAGCAAATTCAAGCAAAAGATGGAGGATTCATATAGAATGGTGTGAGGGGGAATAACGAGTAGATGCACGAGCGCCACTGTTTGCGACAACTCAGTGTCTCTGACTATCGGGTACGATCATCCCGAGGTCTCCGGCCAGGGAGTCTAACGCAGTAACAAAAATAACAGAACATGAAGAGGGGGGGGGGGTTGGGATACAAAGCAGAGTAAAAGGGGCCAAACAGTCAGAATGACGAGAATAACAATATTTTTGTTTGTTTCATTGGGCACTTCTGATATTTCTTTGTTTCAGTTTGCTGTTTTTCATGGGGTGCGGGATTTCAACAGAAAGCTTGTGCTGCATTCGCGCCAATGAGATCTCTTCTAGACCGTATCTCTCAGTATCTTTACCCAACGAGAATCCTCATCCGTTGGGCCTTAGCCTGGAAGGCACCAACCGAAGCCAAAGCTCAATCTAGCTTCTTCGTGCCTCTATTCTGTGTCATGGTTTGACCGCCACGGTGCTGCTTCCAGCTTTGCATAGCACGTGCATGAGAACACGGAAGGGTAGACGCTGGACAGACATGCAAAACATGAGCAAGCAATCGGAGGCGGTGTAGAGCGATTGCTTCTGTTAGAGAACGGCTACCAGCACGTCGTCATTGTTCACTCGATGTTCCCACCAGACACGAACAATACTTCAGAGACATCGGTGCTCGAATACAGAAAGTCAATTAGCGTTCTCAACGCGAAGGGACCAGGTTTCACAAACGTAAAACGGAAAACTATGAACCTTCTCCTTAAGGGACAATCGGATGTCATAGCAACATCATAGATGTGGTCGGGTTGCAAAAGCTGCCCTAGCGTTTGCTATTGGTGATGTGATCTCCCCAACACCAACAGCGGCTGCGATCAAGCTCCCGACGTGCCTAAGGCTCTCAACCACTTCCAGCTGATCACCACAGGGGATGAGTGCGAACCCAGGCTCGTGCCAGTCTTGAACAAGCATCTTGCACTTGGATGGTGAAAAACATACCATACCTGAGTACCTCTATCACCAATCGGTTCAGAGTGTGTTGGCCTGCCTGTATGTTGCTACCTTGCAAGGCGATATCATCGGCATATTTTACGTCGAGGTCTCTTACTTGAGAGGAGTTCGACTATAGCACTTGTCAAAGCGGACGAAACATTCTGTAGAGCATCCTTTAAATCAAAATTCAAGAGGAATGGGGATATAAGGGAGTCTTGCTGAACTCCACTGAAGACCGCGAAGGGTGGCGAAAGCTGGCCATAGGCAATTACCGGACCCGCGGTATGGCGATAAAACTCTTTGAGGACCGATACATCTCTGGTACTCTATTCCTCAACAAGCATTCCCATAGTGCGGTCCTACCAAGAAAACCTGAGCAGATGTCTTAGAGCACAGTGACCGTTGGTCTTCGATACACATGACGGTGATTTAGCAACTGTCGGAGGGTGAAGCGTTGATCGATGCAACCATGATCGGTGCGAAACCCAGCGCGTTTGCTTCTCAAGCGTATTGTACGATCAACGAAGACATTGGTTATTCCTCACACTTTCCACATCTTTATAAATAACGTTTGGTGAATACAGAAGCTATAAAGAAAACGTCGTCTATTTTGATTTTTATACCAGTATTTCAGTGAGGATCTTACTTTTTTGAGCGTAATTTCAGGAATATTAACGTGAGTTTCATTTTGTTAAGATTGCGTCACAGTAAGACTGATGTAAGAGCTCGAGTTTCAGTTTCGGTTTTGTACAACCGTTTACCATACAATTTATTGAGACGGCTTTGGTTGATGTCTCCTGGCTGTCCATTTATATGAAGGAGTAGAGCGAAAAAAGTTGGAAAGTTGAAAGCAGTGTTGCAGAGTGAGCGGGGGATAATGAGTAGATGCACGGTCACTACTGTTAACGATACTTAGGCGTATCACCAGGTGTCTTTAATCATTGATGACAATGATCCTGAGTTCCTCATCTAGGAAGTCTAACGCAATGTATGTAATCTGGTCTCTTGGCCACGGTTTTGATACCATCGTACCAAGTCTTGGTTTGATCACCCTTGGCTTTTCCCACTCACTTCCTGCTTCGACAAGCGCCAGGTGCCCTGGCAAATTATCTGATGATCTTAACGCATCCTTGAGGACGGTAAGGGCCACACTCGCCTAGGTTGATCCTTTCTGTCTGACCGCTTTGGGTCTAAAATAAGGAATTTCTTTTTCTACTAAGCCTAAAATTGTGGTTCAAGATCTTTGCATGATCTTAGCTTAAAGAGCGGTTGCGGTGGTGGTCAAGCGGTATATGCTGTACGTCTGCTGTCTCAGTTCGTGATTTCAAACTCCGTCACCTTTGACGCTCTCATTCCTTTCACGATGCCCTGAATAAACCGCGGCCTCATTTTATATCTATTGTTCCATAGCTTTGTATCAAATAAACGGAAGTAAAAGGAAAATTATTAAAATCATTAAGAGAGAGTTGAATACCGCAGTATTTGTTTTTCTGATTACTCGCATTTACCTCCAAAAGTATCAAGTGTTTCTAGATCAAGTGCTAGTGTAGCCATCCTCAGTATGCGTTTTCCATCGTCGAAGTGCAAACTATTGCTACAATTCTAGGTTGGTCCAGCTGCCAGACTCACTGTAACTGAGGAAGTAGTCGAGAAAGAAAGCAAATTTTGTTATTTGGGCAGCTATATCTCACCTGATGGACGCATCGTAGATGAAGTGTCGCACGCGTATAGAAGGCTCGATTGGCATTTGCCAACGTGAGGCATCTGTGGTGCCGTATGGATGGTTTGGGATATACTGCTTTGATTTGGCCAGTCCTGCTCTACAGTGCAGAGACTTGGCCATTACGGGAACAGGATAGAAATCAAATATCGGTTTTCGAAACCGCTGTCTACCTAGCATTGCACAAGTGTGGTGGAGTAAACGGACAAGCCATGCTAAAGTTAGGTGCAGTTTTAAGGAACCACGTTTGTCCACTGGAACAAGTGATCTTTCCCATAATCTAAGGTGATTAGGGCAATTATTGCGCATGTTGCCAAATAGTTTGCTATAGCGCGCGATGTTTGTAGAGGGAGGCCGCGGAGGGGAAACGGGCAAGGGCGGTCGAACTAAGACCTAGCATAAGGGTATGAAAACCCTAACCAGGGGGCTGGGTCACGTGGCTACCATTAGGCTCCTTGGATGGATACTCCGAGGTCATGGCAATCGGCGGTTAGAGACAGTAATATGATTGATTGTCGCAACAATGACGTTCGTGCATCTACTCATAATCTTTACAATCTTAGTCCATGTTCATTCTCTATCTTCTTTAATTTTTCAGTTAGATTTGCACTCCTTATTTTGCTCTTTTATCCAAATGGACAGTGAAAAAACAGCAACCAAAACTGGCACATTAAAACGTATCGTAAGTGATTGTGAAAACTGAACCCAACTAAACTAGCAAATGTTTGAGATGGAAAATGACGAAAGATGCGTACGGTTTGTGAACTATCATCGTCATCATACACTTTTTTCCTGACGGGTTTTTGTATGAGGTTGGTCCGGTGCCCATTTAACTCTGGTGAATAATAATATATGCATGATGATTTAGACTGATCATCCTCCCGACCTCACCTTCAAACACAATGTTTAGCCCATCCAGTCAACTATATAATCGGAAAACTCCATAATTGAGTTTTGCAGTCGTTAGTGCTCATCAGAAAAGCAGACCCTCGTGTCTTGTTCCGGATTGGAACTCCCGCCCCGTATCTTGGGAGGCATGTGTTACCAGTATGCCATCCACCTCATATTTGAACTGACCAGAGTCGCCAATATAATTTTGTTCGGACGATGTCCTCAGTGACCGTAAATCACTTCATTTTGACCCGATACCAACTAGGGGAGACATACTTTACTCTGTAAACTTCCATCAAGAGCTCGCAAAATCAGGCTTGTCATGCAATCCGGATGTGACCTGGGTGGTATACTGCTGGCACCTTCCATATTAGGGTTCCGGATTTATAGTCCCGAACGGGGAGGTTTATATGTACTACGGGTGAGCTCCAGTGAGAGCGAACTTCGAGTCTGGTACTTCCGAGTGGATGGTCGACTGGATGAAGTGAGAATAGCGCATGGTGAAGTCTGAAGGCTAGTCACTCCACGGCGGTATCACTTCTCACATCTAACTACTCACAAGTAACTGAGCTTAATGTGAATATACGCATGTTTTCTTTTATTTAGGTTAAAGTTGCGGCACTTACTGATCTGGCCTCGGCAAACGAGTTGTCCGTTAGTGCATCAATGGCTCAATCTTCAGTTATCCAACCTTCTATTAGTGCTTCGGGTGTCTCGGTCACTAATGGCAACAGCATGAGCGGCCCAGCTCCCTCTGCGTCTCAACTACAGCAGCCAAACACAGCCAATTTGAATTCAGCTACTACCCAAGGAAGCGCTGTCGTTTCTGCCTTAACGGTTGATTCTGTCGGAGTTGTCCCCGGTAATCATCGGTAGTGAACGTTTTTGTAAATCCATTTTTGGATGCACTATAATTACCCTTATGACTTCTCTTAATACTTAAGTTTATCTCATTACTAATGCTGTATGCTTGCTTCTCTTTACTTCGCATGTTTTGTATTGAGCTTAATAGTCCAATAATTTTCTCACTTGAGCAAATTGTTTGGCTAACGCATCTTTTGGAAAAAGACGAAGTTGCGTCGGGTTTATAGTCAGCTTGCATCTAGCCTTTGCCCACTAGGATGATTTATTTACCTTAAGCAAAGGACGATATTTTGTCCATCTCCTTTTGCCCTGAAACCGCTCTCTTATATCCTATTCTCATTGTAAAAACTTTTACCTCGAGATCACGTCGCCCGTTTTAGGACTTCTACTTCAAGGGGTCAACTGTAATACCTTTTAGACCCCAGTTTGCTTACTTCGACTCACCAGGGTCAATTGAATGCTCTGAAGCTTATTAGACCAAGAATTTTT